GACAGACAGACAGACAGACAGACAGACAGACAGACAGACAGACAGACAGACAGACAGACAGACAGACAGACATCGATATAATTTACAATATTTGCTGTTTGCTAAGGCCTATCAGAATGGGGTTTTGAATGGTTTTTATGTTGTTGGGTATGTTTTCAGGAGTGGGGTGTTTGGGAAAAGGGTTGTTTTGCTGCTTTCTGTAGTTTGAAGCGGGGAGGGCGGGTTTCTTGGAACATAAAAAGAAAAAGGATGAGGACGATTTGATATGTTTCGTTGTATGTTTTGGTTGGGTCTATCTATCTATCTATCTATCTATCTATCTATCTATCTATCTATCTATCTATCTATTATAAAGCTTTAAAAAAAAGGTTAAAGACTAAATTTGCTGACAAACAAATCTAGAGCAACAGTTTGTATTGTGTGAACAGATGCCACGGAAACTTACAATGATTCCATCCTGTTGTAACCAGAGATTTTAGTCAAGTAAATTAAAATGGAACAATTGTTAAGTATGGAGTAATATTTTTTTAAAAACCTTTTGTTAGGAAGGAAAACGTTCAGTCACAATTGAATTGAATTGAAATAATTGCATCGCACAGAGGAATAAAAAGGTAATTTATTGGACAATTTAGAGTCTAGTACAGAAGGAAGTATGACTGGGGATAATTGAACTTTAAAAAATTCATCTTTCTTTAGTATAAAAGATGTAAGTGGGTTCCTTATTTTAAAGAGAAGAAATGTAAGAGAATTCTTTCTTTGTGTTGTTTTCTTTTGAATAGAAGAGATCCTGATTGTGAAATCCTTTTAAGAATAAAATAATGTCAGTTAATTCCTTTGCACTGCATCCCAAAATGAGTAGGCCTATTAATATTATAACCTACCATATCTGCCATAAACATGCAGATAGCTTCCAGCTGGAATGCTAGATTTGGGAACGTTCTTAAAAACGGATAGAGGTACAGATGGGATAAGATGCCTTCCACAAAGAGCGAAATTTACACTACCAGGTTGTAAAGGTTACATATTCCCATGTTTTCAATGATATCAGCTACTGAAAGTTTGTTTGGTAGACTAGACACCCAACGGTGCAGTTCATCGGTGACTTTGGGGAACCCCACCTTTTTGGCTGGCATAGCCAGTTTTACAATTACTAACTGAGCACTTTCTTCCCATACTAGATCTAGCCTATAATCTCGTGACAACCACGCGGTCACACAGTGTCTAACCTTTGCGTTCAGTCATACATGTTTTAAACACCACAACACGAATGCATCATTACATAGGCCTACATGAATCTACGATGTTTTTAATGTTTAAGTTTAATAAACACAGCAAGCACACTGCTTATAATCCAAATGAATCACAACATGATAAAACTAAAATTAATATCCAAATTAGGACATTCTGAATGTAAACCACCACACAAAACTGCAAGCACAGCCACTACACGGTATAGGCATCCTTACACCTCTGGTCACTGCGGTCAGACTACACACTGACCGATCGGCCCATAAGCCCTTATCAGTAAGTTCGGGTGCGAGGCCCGAGTTAGAGTAGGTGTTGGTATGGGTTGTTTTTTGTTTTGATTTTTTGTTTTTTGGTGGGTGTGGGGAGGAGGGGGAGGGGACGATATTCGGTATTGTACGTTTCTTTCTCTCCC